TAAGACAACTTGGTGGAATTTGGGAATTAGACTTTGAAACGGTAAATGAAATCTTAAGATCAAATAAGAATGGAATACATTCATTAGGAATATGTTCAAATCATTTCAATTATGATAATAAACAATTACATAGTTGCCAAAAAAGTGAAGTTAGTATTGACAATGCACTAATTTCTCGAAAAAAATGTTTATTTTGTGGATTTGACAAATATATATTTAGTCGAGGTTATTGTTCAGAGCACTCATGGAAATTATGTGATCGAAATATACGAATAGCATGTAATGGATTAAAAGTTTGCCCTGTGTTTCAAAGTAATGATTATGTTAAGCAGTCTACTGGTATTAGGCGGACACGATATATTTGTGTATCATGTTTTATGTCTGAGGGTGGACATTTATATGAACAAAGAGGACGAGGTGCTGTTCTCCCCTTTGATTGTACAGATCAACATTGTGATGACTCTACAAAGTCTCTCCAATTTCTAACCAAGTGGATAAATGACATATCTGAATCTGCTGAAAAAAATACTCGATGTCTTCTTCTTGATGAAATTTTTAGGGGTATCATGGCTTTTTTTGAGAAATCAAAATTAGCCAAATTAAATGAAGAAAATATTAGCGATGAGGAGTTAGAAGATGACACAATTAGAAATAATGAAAATAATATAAATCAAAAAAAGAAATCAAATCCGTTAAGTTTTTTAGGAATAAAAATTGCATTTAGATTGAAGAAAGTAAATATTAAAAAATTTTCTACTAGTGAAGCATTCTGTGATACAATAAAAAAATACCCAATACAAATGGGTGAAGCTTTAGCAAACTTGTTTTGGCGCTCTAGACCAGAAGTTCGTACCAATAAAGTGAAATTAGAAACACCTAGTTCTTTAAAGGAGTATCAGGATGGATTTCCATCAGTGTTTTTAAGTTTTTTTTACAGTTTAATAAATACAATACAACAAAATAAATGGAAAGTCGTAATGAGAAAACAAAAAGAAAGAGGAGTTTTGGAAAAAGACTATGATGATGCACGTGCCAAAAAAATTGCCCTGTTTTTCAGTTCCATATTGCTATCAATAACTTTTCCAGGACTGAATATTTGGTTCACTCATATTCTTAGTTCTTTGTGTCAGAAGCCCCGCCTGCATATATCACTGTATTCAATATTATGTGCGCTGGTGTGGTGGCACATACCAATCGATATGAGAAACATTTGGAAAAGCAGCGGCGTAAACAAGCTAATATAGTTGAGAAATTATGGGTAGGAGAAGACGTATGGAATATTTGTATGGTAGATAATTTTGACTTACAAGAAAGCACATTCAGTTATGATAATCTTTATAATGTAACATGAAAAACAGCTCATCTAACACTTCGAATGGTATGGCAATATCGATTTCCACAAGCTATATCAAGCCTAATAAAATCAAACAATGCTGAAGTATTATCTTTTCAAATCGGACGATCAACATTTATTGACCAGCAAATACAAAATCTTGAAAAAATATTTCACTTATTCGTTGAAGATAAATGGTTAGAGTATAATGCTATTAATATAAAATCTGAATTCAAAAAAAACATTCCAATAGGGTGTAATTTATCACAACCAAATGTTGTTATATTAGCTCCAGGAGATAATCTGTGTAATAATATAAATGTTCATCAGGCAATAAATATGTATTTTGATGATGTAGATGTCGGTACAAATAATTTTTTGGATATATCTGCAGACCAAGCAATATTCCGTAGGTTAGTTCCATTACGTGCAACAAAACCTGAAATCCGTTTATTGCTTGGTGGCTGGCATACCAACAAATGCATGTTAAATACTTTATTAGCAGTTTTTTCAGGCCACGGTATATATCAGTTAGCAGCTAGTCTGGGGGTTTGTTTTCTTGAAAAACTCGAAAAAGTAGTGGATTACACAGCTAC